ATAAGTGGGGGGGTTATAAGTACAGTGGTAATTGGCTAATAAGTACCATGAACCTGCAAGTAAGCCTTCAAACCCTATAAGCCCATCCCACACATGTCAACTCTGTGCCAGCCCATGGACCTATACAATAAGCAAAAGCCCCTAGGGTTTCACCAAAGGCTTGCACGAGCCCCACTTGCCTTTGAGGGTTTGGAGGTTGAACATCTTCTGCACTAGCCCACTGGACTTCCTGGAGTTCCTGCGTAGGGTTTAGGGAAGCCCTCTGCCATTGAGGAGAGCCTTGATGAAGAACGCTTGGCCCAGGCCAAGCCATGGAGGGAGGTTTAGGGTTTAGGGTTTAGGGTTTAGGGTTTAGGGTTTGGGGTGAGGGGGGGGGGGCACCGCCTGAGTTTTGCCTCGGGCACTGTGAGGGCTTTTGAGCACTGCCCTGGCAAGATATAGTGATTGTTGGGGGTAGATGCACAACCCGTAAGCCCCCCTAAAGCCACCCCCCAAACCCTCAAGCCCAAAAACCCGCCAAGCCCCAAACCTAAACCCCTAAATCCCCTAGCCCTAAACCCTAAACCCTAAACCCTAAACCCTAAACCCTAAACCCTATACCCTCAAGCCCTCAAAGAACTCAGAAGCCAGGCCTTGGACTCCGAAACCCTAGCTCTAAACCCCAAACCCTAAACGCTTTCAGATACCGGTTCGGGGCTAAGACCCCTACAACCTAAAACCCCTAAAACCCCTAAAACCCCTAAAACCCCTAAAACCCCTAAAACCCCTAAAACCCCTAAAACCCCTAAAACCCCTAAAACCCCTAAAACCCCTAAAACCCCTAAAGCCCCTCAAACGCCAGACCTTGGACCACGCCTCTCGGTTGGGCCTTGCTGGCGTCGATGTCGCAAGGCCTGGAGTGGAGCTTGCTTCAGGGTTTGTGGGTTGTTTTAGGGCTTTAGGGTTCTCAGGGTTCTTTAGGGTTTCGGGGGTTTAGGGTTTAGGGTTTTAGGGTTTAGGGTTTAGGGCTTAGGGTTGGGGGGTTTAGGGGCTTGAGGGGCTGCAGGGGGCTTTAGGGGCTTAAAGGGGGCTTTGGGGGGTTTGGGGGCTTTGGGGGCTTAGGGGGTTTAGGGGGTTTAGAGGTTTTGGTGTTTAATGTCGTCGGGTCTTTTAGGGGTTTGATGGGTTGGGGTTGTGGTCTTTAAGGGCTTTGGGTTGTTCAGGGGTTTGAGGATTTTGGGTTTCGGTGTCCAAGGTTTTTTGGTGTGTAAGGGTTTGGGGGGTTTTGTTTAAGGGTTGTGGATGCTAGGGTTTTTGTGTTTAAGGGTTTTGGGGCTTGGGGGTTTTGGGGGTTTTGGGCGTTTAAGGGCTTTAAGGGCTTGTGGGGCTTTAGGGTGTTGAGGGCTTTTGGCTCTAGTTTTAAGGTTTCGGGTCTTTAGAGCTTAGCGAGCGTTTGTTAGAGTACTTGGGGTTAACGGAGTGTTCAAGGCTTTGGGCGTTCTACCGCAAAAGGCTGTAGGGATTTGGGTGTTTTAGGGTTTCAGTGGTTACGGGCCGGCGGTATATCTTCAGGGTTGGGCTTGTGGGCTAGATGTTCAGGGCTTAAAAGTTTACGGGTTTAGGGTTTTCGGGTTTTGTGACCTAGGCTTTTGGAGCTCTACAGTAGGGGTCCAGAATTTCGGGTTTGTTAGGGTTTGTTCGGGCTTGTATGGCTTTATTGAGGTGGGTCGTTGAGGCACTCACAAGGCTCGCCTCCATTTGACATGCCCTAAGCTCGAGATTACACGGCCCTAAGCCAAGATTTGCCTTAAAACATCTCAACCAAATGGGGTTTCCGAAAATAGGGGGTAGGGGTGCTCTCACAAATGCTTGGAGAAAATTCGTTAGAATCTGTACCCTTTGAGGGGTTGCTATCATAAGGATTATGCTATCTTGGGGGGTATATGAGGGGGACCCCAACTTGGGGAAAACCCCCAAATCCTGAACACTAAGCCCGAGACCACGAACTCTTCAGACTTCAGCCTGGAGCCCTGATCCCATCGAGGTGTCAACAGCAGCTGGCGGCTTTGCGTCTGCAGCGTCCCCTTTGCGAGGCCACTTCTGTGGGCCTTTCTGCGCATGATCTAGGGATGTAGTTCGGGGATACGAGTAGGCGAGACCCCTATAGGGACTTGCTGTGTAAAGGCTACATTTTCCTTGCCTCGCTCCTGTATAGTACAAAGCTCTCTCAAACCGCCTCGCCAGGCCCCTTGCAGCTTATTAGGGAACCTCCTTCACGCAGTTTAAGGGTTTTGAGCCCTGTGAGTTTGAGGGTTTGGGGCTGTTTTGATTTCAGAATTTAGGGCTCAAGAGTAAGGCTCGGGGGTGAAGTTTCGGCTGTAGACTTGGGGCTTTGATTCGGCCTCGCTTCGCGTGCCGAAACTGCTGACCAACCCCCGAGAACTCCGAACCCAACCATCTGAATCCCAAACCCTACTGCTGATCCCAAAAGACCCAAAAACCCTTAATTAAGCTGCACCTGGCTGCCATTTTCCACGTTCACGTCGACCCTTCTGGCTGGGAGCTGAAAGCAAAACATGTGGGCTGCGACTCAACATGACGAGCACAGGGCCAAAAGGATGACGCAGGGATAGTATTTCCAGGAACCACTTGTCCTGCAGCACTGAAGAACAGCTATAGGCCAGCGGAGCTGACAGCATGTTTCCTGCCCACCGCAAGAGTTGCAAACTGGCGCTCAACTTGCCTGCCCTGATCACCTAGCCCGTGGGAACTAGCCGAGTTTCTTACCAACCGTAAGGTTGAACAACAGGGGTGTGCGGATAGAACACAGACGGGGTGCGTACAAATTGGGGCTAAACCCCATTGGGATTCGGTGGCCAATCCTTAACTTTTTGAGGTCCTGAACGGTACCTCGTCAGCCCGGAAGTTGATGCTTAGCCTTCGGGGCGCTTGGGCTAAGCGCCACTCTGGCTCAGCGTCGAAAAGCTGCGTTGTAATATTTCTTCAAGACAGGGTCGAAACCATGTTACTACATCTCCAACCGCCTCGGAGCCTGCGCGCGTGTGCAGCGCGTACTGGAACGGCGTGCATGCTGTTCGGAACGCTTCCCCGAACTGCTGTGCCAGGCGGCGGAAGATGTCGCCCATGACCAGCGCTCGCACCCCACCGGCGGGCTTTGCGAGCGCAACCATGCGGCCCAGTCGCAGCGCATCGGCCACGTCGGTGCTGCTTTGCAAAGCAAGTAACGCGACATGTTTCAGTTTTTGGACTCCACCTGCTTCGCTGCCCAGCTTGAATACAGCAGCCACGTCGCTCGGGCTGTCCTCCACTCTGAAGCGGGGTTGGGGGCGCGCGCCTTCCTCAACGCCATGCCCTCAGGACGCACGCGCATGGAGCCTGCCACCTTCATTGCCGAGTTGCGAATCCGCCTGGGGGTGCCCGAAGCCACTGATGATTGCTGGTGTCCTCGCTTGATCTTGTGTGTTCCTGGGCTGAGCGGGCTGGCCTTCGGCCGGAGAAGGAGCGCCCGAACCTTCTGCTGCTCACTTGCCCTGAAGACACGCAAACAGGCAGACGTCGCCCTGCCGATGTCTTTCTGCCTGCCCTTGCTGGGTTTCCCGCTGCGCTTGACTTCGCTGTTACAGCGCCTCCGCGGCAGGAGACCCTAGCACTGGCAGGCAGGGAGACAGGCGCGGCGGCTGCTGCCTACGCAGGAGGCGCACTTGGGGCCTGCGAGGGCCAGGGCGTGGTGTTTGTGCCGATGGTGGTGGAATCCACAGGCACATGGGACAAAGGTGCGGGCATCGTCCTCCAGCACATTGCGCGGGCTGTGGCTGCGCGGACTGGCGAGGAGCCCCAGCGTGCACATTCCGCCCTCATGCAGGAGCTGTGCGTTCTGATCCGTGCCCATCGGGCGCGGGCGGCCCTGCGCCGCCGCGCTGAAGCTGCGGAGACATGATGCTTGGAAGCAGCAAGGAGTTGCGCTGGGGGAGACCCGGTGTACTGGGGGTGTACTGGGCAGATGTGGACGCCCGCTCGCACAGTACGACACGGGCCCACGACCCTGTGTAAATGTCTGTCCATGACGGTGCACTTTGGAAGTGGCGATGCTGGAGGCAAAGGACTTCCGCACCTTCCTGGAAGCACGGAGCTGCGCTCGGGGGGACCCGGCGTAGTAGGGGGGGGCGGTTGACGGGCCCTGCTGCGTCTTCCGTCCGCGACCCTTACCTTTGAACCGGAGTCCGTCGTGTGGGACCTGCGCCTCCGCCAGCTTGTCCGCAGCATGCCCCAAAAACTCAGCGGCCTTTTCGTCGTCCATCAAAACCCTGAGGTGTTCATTGGTGCACCCGGATGGTCCCGCCGCTGCTCCCCGTCGGGCCCTGCGCAAGTTGTTCAGCAAGTCTGCTTTACAGACCTGAGCTGGAGCAAGCGACAGAGGGTCGAAGTTCGGGTGCAGCGGCACTTGCGCTTCCGGCGGTCGCCGACGGGGTCCCGGAACGCTTGGAGCGTCTCAGCGGTGGAGGGTGCTAAAGGAGGAGCCGTGAGGGCCTTAGCTGCTGCGGACATCTCGCCGAGATGCGCGAGCGCGGAGGCTCGGTCAGCCCGGCGCCGGATGTCTTCCTCAAAGCCTGCCTCCGGTGCGCCCCCCGCTTGATTTACGATTTGCAGATGACTTGTTGTTATTTGCCACCACGGCTGCAGATGCTGCGCCAGGGCTGGTGGTGGATGGTTTGTCTCACGAAGAAGCTCATAAATGGCTGGGATGTATGTTGTCCACGGAACAAGGCCCTTCAACAGACATTGATTTTCATCTTCAGGCGGCTTGCAATGCGTTCTATGCAAATCTCCGCGTTCTCTGTGACAAGACTGTTTCCCTGCAGCACCGGCTGCGATATTTTGATGCTGTGGCAAGTCCTGTTGCTTGCTATGCCGCGGGTCACCGAAAAAAATTCAGGGAGGACCTCCGCAAACTGGATGTTACTTTCCGCCGTTTGCTTCGATGTGTGGTCGGTGGCGACCTCCATCTGCTTGGCATTCATTTAAAACAGCAGTGTCGAAACTGTACGGTGGGTTTAGTGCTCAGGGGATTCTCTGAAGATACAGCGTTTGGGCACTCCAGGGGTTCTGTGCAGATACATTCTTTGGGGATACTCTGGGTTGCACTCCAGGGGCTTCTCTGGGGCAACCTAGGGAATTTCTGGGGACACTCTGGGGTTGGGCACTCCAGGCTGGGCTCCAGAATTCTCTAATCTCTGGTGATGCTCTGCACTCTGGGGTTGGGCAGCTCTTAAGCCTGGACACTCCAGGCATTTTCCGGGGATACGAGACTGATGGTTGACAAGCCCTGCAGCCTAAGCTGCGTCAGCTCAGAAAGCAGACCTTTACTAGGATGCCCAGTAGTACCCCCTAGCCGACCTAGCCCTCTTCTAATGAAACGGGCACGCCGCGTTCGACCCTGGTCTCCAAAGCCCCAATCATTCATAGCAAAGGAAGCCCCAGAATCTCAGCCCTAAACCCTCTAAGTCCGAAGCCCCGAAGCCAAAAAGTAAAACCTCAGCCTAAGCACAACATCGAAGTTTTGGGTTTAGGGTTTAGGGCTTCTAAGCCGTAAAGCCCCGACCGCTTGAGGCCATGCAGACGGTTGTGGGCAGCGGGGTGGTGGCTCAAGCCAAGCAGCTGCTCGCAATGCTGGCGCAGGTGCGGGAGGGGTAGTATTGGGTTTAGGGTATTGGCTTTAGGGGAAAGGGGTAAGGGTTTAGGGTTTAGGGAATATTTGCTCACAGTATTCCCTTATGGCCCCCATATCATTATACTATAATCACCCCCAAAACCCTATTCCAATTATTGAGGCACCTATATGAATTCTTGGAGGCTCAGGGGTACCTGTGAGTGGGGTTTCTAAGTCGGGGCACCTATGGTTGTAACCGAATTTTGGGGACTTGCAAACCTAAATTAGGTTACAGCCATCGTTACCCTACTTCGAACCCTGCTTAACCTCCAAGCGCTTATGAGCCCTTAAGCCCTCTACGCCCGCCCACACATCCCAATCCACGAGCCCAATAATGGGTTTACGGCTCATCACGGCGTTACGGCGCAGCGGTGGCTAACGTGCTCCCCAGCTTCCCTGAGATCCCCCAACGCAGAGCTTTCTGGGATGAAATTGACAGGACCCCAGCGTGGCCCCGAATTCCCCTCTTCTTGGGGGGGGGTCTTGAGGCTCCCTTTCTAAAGACCCCCATTTATAAAACAGGTACCCTTCTTCTTCTAGGTTGCTCTAGACCTAGGCTGGGGATCCAAGACACAAAATATGTCGTAGGGTTTAGGGTTTGGGGTTTGCGCGGGGGGGGCCGGGGGGTGGAAGGGAGGCCCTGCTACCTTTGGGCTTAAGGAAAGTCAAGGTTTATGGGAGTCCCTAAGCCCTGGAAACCCTTAAGCCCCAAACCCTATACCCTAAACCCTCGCCCTAAACCCTAAACCCTTAAACCCCTAAACCCTAAACCCTCAACCCTCAACCCTCAATTCCTAAACCCAAAACCCTAAACCCCTAAACCCTAAACCCCTAAACCCTCAACCCTCAACCCTCAACCCTCAACCCTAAACCCTAAACCTCTAAACCCCTAAACCCCTAAACCCTAACCCCTAAACCCCTAAACCCTTAACCCTGCACTTCTTTAGGACACTTTACTGGCTTCGGGCTTAGCGAGCTTAAGGGTCAGATATACAATTTAACAAATAAAAAAATAACAAATGAAAGAATAGAAAACGAGTGGTCTTTTATTGAGTCACTAAAAAACCCTGAAACCCTAAAACTCTAAACCCTCAAAACCCTAAAAACCCTGGGTTATTTATTTGGTTTCTCTATTCCTCTTTCCAGGCGGGCCTTGAGCCCGGATCGGTGCGTTGGTTGCCGGCGCTGGCCCCTCGGCCTAGCTTTTTTTTGTTTCGGGGTCTGAGGGTTTAGGGTTTAGGGTTTAGGGTTTAGGGTTTGGGGGTTTAGAATCTTTAGGGCCTTTAGGCCCTCGGCCCAGGTTTTTATTTGGGGTTTCTAGGGTTTAGAGTTTTGGGGTCTTAGGGTTTTAGGTTTTAGGGTTTTGAGGGTCTAGAGTTTTAGGGTTTCAGGGTTTTTAGTGTTTTAGGGTTTTAGGGTTTCAGAGTTTTTAGTGTTTTAGGGTTTTAGGGTTATAGGGTTTTAGGGTCTTAGAGCTTTAGGGTTTCAGGGTTGTAGGGTTTTAGGGCTTTTAGAGTTTTTTGAGTTTTAGAGCTTTAGGGATTTAGGTTCCCCGTCGGTGAGTGATCTACTCTGATCCCAACGCTCGGGACGAGTCCTACACATACGAAGAGATGCCCATGACCTCAGTCCAGCAGTTGTGTGGTGCTGTCCTCCTCCCGGCAGCGGTCTTCAAGTTGCAGTTTTGAGCATGCTGTCCTCTTTCTGGCACCGGCCCTCAAGTTGCAATCTTTAGCGAGCTGGCTTTGCTGCTGAAGGCCAGCGCGTCCAATCAGCTGTGGCACCTTAACCCCCCCCCCCCCCCCGCCAAACCCTCCCAAACCCATGCACCTAAACCCTAGACTCGAAACCCGCAACCCTAAACCCTTTAGGGTTTGCAGGGTCTGTTTTGCGTGAAGGGGCTCATGGAGGCTGGGGTTTCGGAGGGTTTAGGGTTTGGGGTTTAGGGGTTTAGGCTTCCATGGGAGGAGCTCCAATTCCGTTCTCATCAATCTCCCCACAGGCAACTGAACTGGGGTTATTTATACACCCCAAACCCTAAACCCTCAACCCTGAACTCTTACCCATAAACGCTAAAACCTCTAGGCCCTAAACTCTCTCTATCATATAATAATTTAAACCTTAATGGGGAACGTGGCCATTGGCAAAAAAACCGTGGCCATTGGCAAAAAAACCGTGGCCATTGGCAAAAAAGCCGTGGCCATTGGCAAAAAAGCCGTGGCCATTGGCAAAAAAACCGTGGCCATTGGCAAATTCGCCAATGGCCACGGGAAAGTTGCCAATGGCCACGGCTTTTTTGCCAATGGCCACCAATGTCATTAAGGTTGGTCGCCAAAATGGTTTTTTCAAACCCAATTCGCACAAAATGCCCCCCAACCTTAATGGGGAACGTGGCCATTGGCAAAAAAGCCGTGGCCATTGGCAACTTTTCGGGCTTTTTGCCAATGGCCACGGCTTTTTTGCCAATGGCCACGTTCCCCATTAAGGTTGGGCCCCAACCTTAATGGGGAACGTGGCCATTGGCAAAAAAGCCGTGGCCATTGGCAAGTGGCATTTGCCAATGGCCACGGGAAAGTTGCCAATGGCCACGGCTTTTTTGCCAATGGCCACGGCTTTTTTGCCAATGGCCACGGCTTTTTTGCCAATGGCCACGGCTTTTTTTGCCAATGGCCACGGCTTTTTTGCCAATGGCCACGGCTTTTTTTGCCAATGGCCACGGCTTTTTCGTTTCCCCCCCCCCCCCCCACCCCCCCCCCCACCCCCCCCCCCCCCCCCCCCGCCCCACCCCCCCCCCCACCCCCCCCCCCCACCCCCCCCCACCCCCCCCCCCACCCCCCCCCCACCCCCCCCCCCACCCCCCCCCCCCCCCCCCCCCCCCCACCCCCCCCCCACCGCCCAGGCCCGCCCCACCACCCCACCTTCCCCCCCCCCCCCCCCCCCCCCCCCCCCCCACCCCACCCCCCCCCACCCCCCCCATGCCACCCCATGCCACCCCTCTGGCCCAGACCCCCATTCTGGGCTTGAAAACCTGGGTCTGGGCCAGATCAAGATGAAGGCTTTGCGGGGCCGGGCAACACGGCAGCCCCTTCTTAGTCTTTCTCATCTTGGGTGGTCAGAGGGTGGGGTGGGGAAAAGCAACTTCGGGACCCCCATTCTGGGGTTGGAAACCTGGATGAGGGCTTCGCAACCCCCCCCCCCACCCCCCCCCACCTCCCCACCCCGAGAACGAATGCAAGCAGAATGAAGACGAGCTGAGAAATACGAGCAGAGAGAGAACGACTTCAAGGGCTCCAAGAGGGCGGTTGGGAAGGCGGGTTCCAGCCCTAAAAACTCCAAGACCATGATTCCCAACCCCCCCTTCAAAAGGCTCCAGAGAGGGGGGTTGGGAAGGTGGGTTTCCAGCCCAAAACACTCCAAGACCATGATTCCCAACCCCCCCTTCAGAGAGGGGGGTTGGGAAGGCGGGTTTCCAGCCCAAAACACTCCAAGACCATGATTCCCAACCCCCCCTTCAAAGGCTCCAGAGAGGGGGGTTGGGAAGGCGGGTTTCCAGCCCAAAACACTCCAAGACCATGATTCCCAAACCCCCCTTCAAGGGCTCCGAATACGGGTAGTTGGTTCCAGGGTGGGTTGGGGATTGGCTCGAACTGGAATGGTTCGAGGGTGGGGTGGGTGAAAACAAAACATTAGGTTAACAAAATTAGGGTTTTTTTGTCAATCCGGACCAACACTTTTGGTTCTACCTTCGGTCTGGGAAAGCAAGCGCGAAGACAAGGGACATGCGACAAAGCCGACGAGCACGAAGGGAGGGGACATACGACAAACCCTAAGAACACGAAGGGAGGGGACGTACGACAAACCTGTAGACCTCTCATCAAACCATACGAGCACGAAGGGAGGGGACATACGACAAACCCTACGAGCACGAAGGGAGGGGACATACGACAAACCTCTGAGAATAAAATCTCAGTTTCTGAATTCTTGGGATTCTTTGCAAGCAGACGAGGAGGGACACACGACAAAGCCGACGAGCACGAAGGGAGGCGACATACGACAAACTCTAACAGCACGAAGGGAGGGGACGTGCGACAACCCTGTAGACCTCTCATCAAACCCTACGAGCATGAAGGGAGGGACATACGACAAACCCTACGAGCACGAAGAGAGGGGACATACGACAAACCTCTAGGCCTCTCATCAAACCCTACAAGCAGGAGCCAACATGAGGCGAGGTCACCGGGGCACTAATTGGAAAGAAACCATGTGGAAGCCAGGCAGCTTAAAGTGTGCCAA